GACAACAGCAAAAAGCAAAAAAAATAGAAATATGAAAAAAGAAAAAACTTGAGTATTGGGATTCGAACCCATGACCATAAAATCGAAAAAAGGTTGGGACGATTCCCCCGAGACATTCTGTGAAGCTGAGGCGGCGAATCGATTTACATTCCGGTTAGAGATTTCGGCTCTTCCATGCTATCCCGATAATTGGTCCTAACTTCGCGCTAACTAAAAAGCCAGTGAGGGAGAAGCTATCCGGCCCCTAGACACTGATGGATAACCCCTTGCACTAACTAGGCAACTATCGAAAGTATAATGTCAAATTGGGGTAGTCTATTCGGTGAAAGTGTCAAGTGGTCTATTATTATGTAAATGAGAGTGATCCAGTGGCGCACCGCGTTAAGRCGCCGCTTGCAAATCCAATGTAGGTTGACGGTAGCGGGATCGATTCCCTGGAGGAGACGTTYAATGATTTTGTTTTTTTCCTTTTTATTTTATTTATTGTTTATCTTCTTTTTTTATTTATTTATTTATTTTTGCATAATAATTGTCATCTCTTGTGTTTCACTTTCCCGAGAACCGTCTTTTTTTACGAAGTGGATATATGATTGGCTCGCCCGCTCAAAGTCTTCGATGTACTAACATACTAAATGAGTGCTAGTTTTGTTTTGGCAAAAAAATCTTTTATATCTTTATTAGCAATCTAAAAAAAGATGTCGATTCATATTATAAAGTTCTATTTCGAGCAGCTTTAACTTCTTGTCGCACTTAGCGTGACGAAGGCTCCCGCTCAATTAAGGTCTTCGATGCACTAAATGAGCGGGAGTTTTAAAATGTACAAAACAAATCCCAAAAAAAATCTAAGAATTAAAAAATCTTTAATAACTTTATTAGCAATCTAAACAAAGATGTCGATTCAATATTGTAACGTTCTATTTCGTTCTATTTTGAAATGGTTTTATATTTGTACTTTCAGATGTACAAAGCCATTTGTTGGGAACCCAACTGTGGTTGGAGATTACTGCAAATTTGGTAAGAATGCTGTATAAACAGGAGGAACCGACGGGGTCTGTTCTTCTAAATAACTCTTCTTGTATGACCTTGTATGAATTTTTCCTGTGAAAGGGAATTTGAGCTACAAGTTGACAATCTCACAAGCAAATGTGGCGCCCTTCCTTCTTTAAAATATAATAATTTTGGCCCTGGAAAACGTTTTTTATGGTCAAAAATGGCTTATATTTTTTTT